GTAATAATAACAACTTACAAATGACAAAGCCAAAAACAATAAGTAAATAGATGAGTATACCTTGCGAGCAAGCTTGCGATAAGATGCTTTGATCTCTTGGAGCGTTGCATTTCTACTAACATTAAGAACTGAATATAGGTCGGAGCTGGACGACTTTGCAGCTGCATTAACAGTCACAAGGCCGCGTCGTTTCCGGTTAACGAAGAACGGGTTAGGAGAGACGAATTTGAGAGAATGAGATAAGGAGTTTGAAAATGTGAGGGTTTTAGGGAAGCTGAAGGTCGAGAAAGAACAATTCGTATTGATATTCGAAGCAGTGTAGAACCAGTTAAGGTTATGGATAGCCGGCATAGCCGGCCGGAATCTAGAGGTTAAAGGCCGGTGTTTGGTTCCGAGAAGGAACAATAGAGAAGCAAGGTAGTAAAAACCTCTCTCCAAGGGACAAAAAGGGTTTACTTTTTTTCTTTTTCCTTTTTTTATTTTATCCACCAAGCTTATGATAAATATACCTATCTTATTATTATTCCTTCCGTTTCAAAAAGAATATCATCGTTTTTTTTTAATCTGTTTAAAAAAAAATGACCTTTCTTTTTTTAATAACATTTTAATTTTAACTTTCCAAGTGACATGTTTAAAGCCACAAAATTAAAAAGCAATTTTGTACCTTTGAGATAAACTTTAATTTAGGACCACGAGATTCAAAAGTCTTCTTTATTTTCTTAAATTTCGTATCAATTCAAACTATGTCATTCTTTGTGAAACGGAGGGAGTATTATTTACACCAAATCAAGCAATTTAACCTTAATATCAAATTAAAGTTTTTTAAAAAAAAATGAAAGACATATGTGGAGTAATGATTTACGTAAAAGGATAACGAGACGTGAATATGGACTAGTCAGTTACACAATGCAAATCTGTATTAGCCGAATACCATATCGGGTACAAAATACTGGTGGAAAAACATCTTTAGACAATAAATTAGACATAAGGATCCATGCCATTACAACACATTCCATTTTTACATTCAAAAGCTAATTCTACTGCCCATGTAGCTCTTATCATCGCACAAAAAGTTTGGAATTAACCAAAAAGCTTATCATCTCCACCCTTAACTGCTCCCTGAAGCTGATCCATTAACATATGTGCCACGGATTTGTATCCCATCTTTCTAGCTGTTTTGTTCAAAGATCCAACAAGAAATTAGACAAATTCTCAGAGCAAACTATTAAAACAACAGATACGAACGAACGAACAAAACCTCAAGTGAAACTAGTGATGACATACAAACCTTTAAATGTGTTCACGGTTCGAGCTATATTTCGCTTCTTTAGGCACAATAACCTAGAAAAACATGAGTAAGATATTGATCCATGAGCAAGAAAAAGACAAATGAAATTTGCCAGTATCAATATCAAAAGAAGTTGACTTCACAATCATCTAGGCCTGTTTTATATAACCACTACGTACCGGTTACAGAACCAATACGGATTGATGCCTTTTTCTTCAGTGCAATGAGGGCATATCCATTCTTTGTTAGCTCTCACCTCCACCAGTTCTATCACATATTTGCACGGTATTAGTACTTATCGACATTCATAAATGAGAAAGCAAAGATCAATTTCACAGAATTCCCATTGTTAGGCCTTAAATTAAACAGAACAAAAGAGTAACGGTTAGTGAGTCATGGCAAATGCTTTATGCTTTGACTTTTAGTTTCTAAAATGCATATCTATTGCCTCACCTTCACCATATCGATTCTTAAGACATTCTCGGCAAAGAAAACCATTGCTAGAATGACAAATTGAACAATCCGTCATGCCTATATGGGAAATTTTAGACTCATCAGTATGCCAGCAAATTAGTTTACGGAAACGAAAAGTGCTTTGTATGACCAACCTAAACAAGGTTGACCCATGTCCAAATCACCACAACGTTTACAATCTTCTTCATCACAAAATTTCTTTTCCCTGCATTAGCATTCACAAATTATCATTTTCAACTGATAAGAGAGTGACAAAATACCAGTGGCACATAAGCACAAGCTTATAGGTGAATGGTGATAGATGTGCGAGTTAGGCCAAACTTGGGCAGGTCAAAATGTCAAAGTCACAATCCAACCCGCATAGAGTTTACTTGGTTCAGAACAGGTTGGGCTAAGATGCGTCAAATAACATTGTCATAACACAACCTAATCTCCTCTCCTTTTGTATTTTGATTATTGAAAAATGTGAAAACTAATATATTCTTCTTAAACTATTAGCTTAAGTCCATCCATTCCACTCTCCAAATTTGATTTTGTATGTATATGTTTGGGGATGTATTATATGACCCCTTTTGATCTAATAGTTTGATGGGTAATCAAGTTCATTCCATTAGGTCAACACAACCAACCCATTTAAACTTGGGCTAGTTTCTAAAAATGAAATGTAAACTCAACCTCAAAAGGATCATAGCAAACAGCAAGCCAAGGGGCCAGCCATCAGAATATCTAAAATTTACTTGCTCAGACCTCAGTCAGTCAATTCATCGAACAGTGAGCGATAAAAAACTGTAAGTTGCAACATCAATGGCAAAAAGTTTGGCAAGAGTGTAATACATGCAGGAGTGACAGCAAACTCCCACTCTCAATCGATTGGAACGCTGAACCAAAGCTTCCTGATTAAGGCGCTCCTTTATGCCATCATCTCCCTCTTCAAAAAGACACAATCTCCATGAAAAATCAATATACAAAGAAACACAAACATTTTCATACAGTAAATACACATAAAAACACAAACTTTTTGATGATGGTGCAGAGTCGCCTTTCAATCGATTGGAACGACGCAAAGGGGCGGAGGAGTAGTCCACTTTGTTGTGTTTTCTCTTCTCTGGTTTAGTTCGAAGCTCTCCCAAGATATTTTGAAGTCCAAGACTGGCAAACCTAGCCTGTACAATACCCCATGAAAATCAGCTACTATTTGCAATTTAACATTGAGAGAAAATGGAGAGAGAGAGAAGAAAAACCTGATTTTCCAAGATTCGAGCATTTCGCAGTTCTTCATAGTTAGGTTTTACTCTTAGCCTTCCCATTGATGGCCTTTTAGGTTTTCAATTGCGATTTTCCCTCCTCTTTACTCTGGACAAAGGCTGATTTTTTACTCCTTTTTTTTTAAAAAAATAATTGAAATGCCAAAACACGGACGTTGCAACTCTTTTTAAATAGTTGGCTTAGCATTATGGACTAGACTATATTGAACCAGAACAATAGACTGATTGATTGTGACAGGTCAGAGCCCTCTATTGTATGTTGGAGGAGATTGATGTCTCTAGCATGATCACTTGATGAAATCGGGAAGGAAGTGGGGTAAATGGCCGATACTACTGGAAGGATTCCTCTTTCCTGGATTATTCCTAACTGCATATTTACAATACAAGCGTGATGATCAGTTGGACCTTTGATTAATTAACATCTCTTTTTTTTATTGACCTCCGCTAGAAAGGACAGTTGAACTGCCATTGGCCCGGGTTCAACCTTTACTTTGAATTAGACTTAGACTTTAACGGGGCTTCTTCCTAAATATAAATTACCAATATATTTCAGACGGACGTTCGATTCTTCGGTTCAGTTTATCAAATTTTGATTTGGTTCTTTGGTTTCAGAAAAGTGTGCATTGTATTCCTAATCAAACTAATTTGGTTCGGTTCAATGTTTCTAAATTGATTTTTCGATGCGAATGAAAAATAAAATTTACAAAATCAAAAAATAAGATACTTAAAAATTGAAAAATTTGTTAAGGAATGATGTGTCTCTCCATGGAACACTTATTGTGCTAACTAAAAAACTATATTTGTCTTTGTCAAGAACAGTGTGCCTCCAATTACTTCTCAAGAAAAACAAGGACGAAGACGAGTTCCTTTACATTATGTACATTGATAAAGATATATATAATTATCATTTTTCTAATTTTTTAAATAAAAGTTCAGTTCTTCGATTCACCAAAGTTCTGAGAACCTTACACCGAACCAAAGAATCGAACTTTTGAAAAAATAACACCGACATCGAAGCAAAAAATCGAATTAGTTCGGTTCGATTCGATTTTTTAGTTTTCCGAAATTTATGCCCACCCCTACTTAACATGTCTTAATCGTCTCAAGCGACCTTCTCACATTTTATTCCCAATGTGTGCTACTTGCATCTTTTGACGAAAGTGGTCATTTCTAATCCTATCTAATTTGGTATGATCATATATCCATCTTTAACATTTGCATCTCCATAACATGATATCTTGGATTTTAGCAGTTCAACATTCACTACCATATAACATAGCGAGTCTTATAGTTGTTTATATAATTTAGGGAAAATGATCTGAAATATATTCGAACTTTGACCGAAATTGCAGTAACGATATCAAACTTTGAAAATGACATTTTACCCCCTACACTATTTAATAGTGTATTTTAAAGGTATATATATGTCCACGTGGTCATCATAAATATTGCATAAATATAAATATAACGTGTTCACGTGGGCACATATATACCTTTTAAATACACTATTAAATAGTGCAAGGGGTAAAAGGTCCTCCATAAAGTTTAGTATCGTAATAATAATTTCAGCCAAAATTAGAGTATTTTTCAGACCCTTTTCCCTATAACTTATCTTTCATTTTGATAGGTATCCTTCTTATCACATAACACTCCGGGCAGTACTTCTCCATGGCAAAATTAAGTATACATATGTAAAAAGGAACAAATTGTTTCTTATTCAAGGTAGTAAAACCCAACAATTGTGTTATTTAATTTTCATCAATCAAACCAATCTAAATTATTAGGATAGACAATATAAGTTCAAAGGAATGTTATCATTCAAATCCCCAATCACAAACTGGGCAACATGTTTCCATTTTTAACATGTATCTCATTCTTTTTAAAATTTATGTGTGGCTTTAAAACTGACATCGTTGTTGTGGATAACAACATACTCAATGTAATTCCACAAGTGTTTGCTTCGATATAACCTCAAATGAAAGGGTGTTATAACTTTCATAATGAGGATCCTTGCATTACACAACCAGTGATTGGTCTTCATAACATTCATTTTTACATTCTGAAGCTAATTCTACTGCACCAACAAGAAGTTATCAATGCACTAAAATTAGTTTATCATTAACCCTTCACTGCTCCCTGAAGCTGATCCATTAACAGATGTGCCACTGATTTGTATCCCATCTCTCTAGCTGTTTTGTCCAACAAGGAGAGAAAAAAAGGAAAACAAAAAGACAAGAAATTAGAACACTATATAACAACAGATATGATGAGCAAACAAAACCTCAAGTAAACTAGTGACAAACATACAAACCTTTGAATATGGCGATCCCAGTTGGAGCCATCTTTCGCTTCTTTAGGCACAATGAGCTAGAAAAACGTAAATAAGCATGAACAAGAAATCAATCCATGAACCGAGAAAAAAAAAACAAATGAAGTTATCAGTATCAAAAGAGCTTAACTAATCTAGCGGCTAGTCCTGTTTTATAAACCACTACATACCTATTACATATCCAATATGGATTGATGCCTTTTTCTTCAGTACAATGAGGATATATCCATTCTTTATTTGCTCTCACATCCTCCATTTCTAGTACAATTTGCACATATTTAGTACTAATCGACATTCATAAGTGAAAAGGCAGAAATCAATTTCATAAAGTGAAGAGTAGTGTGTACAACATGAGTGACTTCAAGATCAAAACCATGTGACTTCATATAAACTTCAGTATCTAAAATGCATAGTTATTGTCTCACCTTCACCATATCGAACCTTAAGACAACCTCGGCAAAGAACACCTTGGCTAGAATGACAAATTGAACAATCTGTCTTGCCTGTATATGAAATTTTATATTCATCAGTCTGTTTACAGACTAGTAAGTACCACAAAACAATAAACAATTTGTAAGACTAACCTAAGCAAGGTTGATCCATGTCTGTATCACCACATCGCTTACAATCTTCTTCACCACATAATTTCTTTTGCCTGCATTAACATTCACATATTATCATTTTTAATTGGTCCTCGCGTGACACCTTCTCATTTTTGTGATACGTAAGGACAAGCTAAGCTGGCATATATGTAAATTCAAGTGCAAAAGTCACGCATCCCAGCAAAAAGAAAACAAAGAAGCCGTCTTGACTCTTGAGGGAAGTCCCTCAATTCACTGCACAGTGAGTGACCAGAAACTGGGATTTACAAAAGGTTTTAATCTATTTACCTAACACGGTAAGGATTCTCTACACTATCAGTACATATATAGCAGATTACTTAATATATAATGATATTAAGTAAACTAAAAGTAAGTGTAGGCATGCGACTGCATAGAGTAAAGTGTCGAACTTGCAACCTTGGATAGATTCTAAACCCCCTTGACCACTTAGCTACGCATCCTAGTTGTGTTGAGGGGGTTTATTTCAGTCTATAAAACATTGAATTTGACCTTATATATACAGTGTAATTTTTTCGATCCAAGGGTTTCGGATGAACCCCTACCGTCCACCTAGATCCGCCCTTCTCATGGTTATAGCGGTGACTTTGTTATAGCAGGTTACTTAACAATTTTTACAAGGATATCGGCTCATAATTATAACAATGACCCGATAAAGGAAATATTTTTTACACCATCCGAACTTAAACACTTCAAAAAACAAAAGGCAAAAAACTAATAAGCAAAAGGGTATTCAAGAGCGTGTTCAAAACCTGCAAAAATGACAGCAAATACCCAAATAAGGGTCATATAACGTTCCCCTGTCCTTGCTTGTGCAACGCCGAGCCAAAGCTTCCGGAGTAAGACGAAGCATTGAGCCATATTTCACTCTCAACAGAGGTGCATTAGCTGGTCTCTTCTCAATATCATCTTCATCATCTCCTTCATCAAAAAGCCCCAATTTCCCTAAAAGCAACATTTCAAAAAGGCAACATTCTAATTTCAAAATCCACACTTATGGGGCCAAAACAAAAAAGGAGAAAAGAGACATAAATACAGACTTTTCGCTAGTGGCGCAGTGCCGCATGAATTCAATTCGGAAGAGTTGCTTTTCAATCGACTAGATCGGCGCAAAGGGGTTGAGAAGTAGTCAACTTTGTTGTATTTTCTCTTCTCAGATTGTGGTTTAGATCTGATAGATCGAAGTTCTGCCACAGTTTTTTGAAGTCCAAGACTGGCCAATCTCGCCTGTAATCCAAGAATGTCAGCTTATAACAAATTAACATTGACAGAAATTAGATACACTCAAATTGATAGAGAAGAGGACCTTGTTTTCCAAGATTTGAGCGTTTCGGAGTTCTTCATAGTCAGTTTTCACTCCAAGTCTTCCCATTCTGGCGTTTCAATGGTGATTTGCTTCTTCGTCTTCTTCTTTTGAAATTTTGAATTTGAAATTCCTAAGTCGACCGTTGATATTTGATATTAGAAGTATATATAACCCAATAAATGAATCCACATTTTTTTTTTGGAGAGGGGGCGGGGGGGGGGGGGGGGCGGGGGTGATAATTGATTAGAATATTTTTTTTAATTAAACTAAAAGAAACGTTAGGGGTATATTTAATCTTTCACGTAGCGTTCACGGGTATATTTAAATCTTCTCACACATAAAACTTTTTTTGTCTTTAATTTAACGATTAATTTGGTTTGAATTTTGATGATCAAATTTCTTTTTTCCTTCATTTTCTTGTTAGTTCTTCCATAGATGCTTGTGAAAAAAACTTTGCAAATATATAGAATAAATAACAATTTGGTCACTTGGGATTATTGGAAATAATAAAGAAATTTGAGAGGATCATTTTAATTTAACTCCACGAGACTAAGCTAGAGGTAAATTCTGTATACACACTACCTTTTCAGATTTCATTGTGTGAGTATTCACTGATCACTAGATATGTTATTATTGTTGATTCAAGCCCAAACTCAAGACCTTCGGTGAAAATGAATATACACTCTTGAGAATATTATATTTTACGTTTCTACTTCAAAAATAACAACATGCCTAAGTATAATTTTATAAATAGAATCTGAATTTACACTCCTACTTTACAAACAACAACATACCTAAGTATAATTTCATAAATAGAATCTGAATTTATGTTACTATTTTCTTAATAAGTAATAAGTAATATTAAGTATAGTACATTATAAAGAGTGAAATTATAAAAAAAAAAAACCTTTTTTGTAATAGAATATATGTCCACTTGATTCTAACGTGTCACGCACCCACAAGTGGATACTAATGTGAACACACAAAAACATGAGATAAGAAATCAAGATAAGTCTTAATACCAAATTTGTCTTTGATGAAACATAGACAACTTTGTTTTATAGTTAGGCTGGTGACACGCAACTTATTAAAAGATTTAATTTACTTTAATAAGTTATGAATCCCTTATTACATTAAATTAAAAACATTAACAGCAAATGGACCTTTGATTTTGCACTAATATGAGCATGTTTAATAATCAAAATGTACACATCAAGGGGTCGTTTGGTAACTAATACTTGTTATCAAACGGGCCTCTAGACGTTTTGAAGTTTCTACTTTTGTTATCATATTGATCTCTTGTAAAAAATATAATAAACTAACCATCAAAAAGACTATAAAATCAAATCTCTCGTATTCACGTGTGTGGATATGTCTTGGATCGAATTAGTAAGAAAAGTTGGTCACAATCACACCACAAAACAACAGATAAAACAGAACAAAACTTCACTAATTCTTATCTTCTTCTTTATAGTTGTCACTATAAAAGAAATTAATAATAAACAACAAAGGAAAATACAATAATGTCTTAGAACTTCGAAACTTAAATAAGTTAATATCTCAATAGGTCACTAAGTTTTGAAAATCGAATCGAGTTAATATCTCTAAAGGCCACTAAGTTTAGCTGTCATGAAGTGACCATTATTTCTCTTAGGGTCATTTGGTTGGGAACAAGTTATCCTGAGATATACATAGTGCGATAACTTGTCCCATCACTGTGATATAAATGGTGAGATAAATAATCCAATGACTACCTAATACCTCCAACCAAACACAAGTCCGAAATTATTATACCTTATACCTCACACCAAACGACGGATTATTTTATCACTACTTCATCAACCATATCTTGAGTTTTTAAAGAGATATTTGGTACATGATGGGTATGTCTTCCTCGTGAACTCCCAACAAACATGTCCATAACATCATTAAACAAAACCATATGATTCTCAAAGACACTCCACGACTCATGGATGCTTCCAACAAAATAATTCTAAACCATGTTTCTTTCTTTCATAGCAATTTCCTTGTAATGTAATGTTATGTTATACAGTCAACTGCAATTTGCTTCATTATTATTTTCTATCATGTCGGCAATGATATGTTGAACTGGTCTCTTTTCTAGAGCTTAAAATAAAACTATAGTATATGGTTGGTAAATGAGTCTGAAAAATCAAGTTCCTCACCTATCCATCCCAACAGTAGTAAATTTGTCCAGAACTCAGACAAGTCAAGATCATCATATCCATTAATTTATACTTCAATCATTGAATCAACAGGGTAATGTCAACAACTAGGGACAATTTTTTTGGGTTCAATTTTGGTGTTCTTTTACATAGAACTAAATGATCATATGTACATCTTGAAACAACAAAAAAGAATTAAAGAATGAAGTTAGAAACTTATGCGATTAACCTCTAAATATCTCTATCATGAAAGATCTCTCTATCAAGCATAACCTATATCTGGAGTTTGAGAATGGTGTATAATACATAGATAGACACTCAAACTTGGCCTCGACTGAACGCTCCAAGGAGGGTGCATATATAGACACTTCAACTCGTCTCCACCGTGTCAGTTGAACACTAAGCTTAAAGAAATAATCATCTGGACGCATCCAAAATTTATGTGTCATGTCAGCATCATGTGTCCACTCCCAAAGTTGGATTGTCTACTTGCCAATTGAGGCCGAATTTGTGTGCCTATGTATGTATTATGCCTTTGAGAAACTGGATTAGTTTCTCTTTGAATCATCTAAAGCAAGGTTAACTCAAACTTCTTATCTGGTTAAAGGGACAATATAGAGAATCCTATCAGGCAGGGATTTGAAAAGTTCTTTCTCTGGTGCAAAATACTGCTGCCTGTAAATGCATCCATAGATTATTGTCCTTTCTTTGCAGATTGTGGGTAACAATGCCAAGTCCTGCATTTTTAGAGTCATCAAAATTTCTGTCGACAGAGTTCCAAGGTTCTTTCTTTCTCCTTTACATAATGCTGGTTCTTGGCTCCCAACTCGTCAAGAATTCTACAGGATAGGCGTCCCTGGTTCCCCATTCTCGGTTATTAGAAGTCTTGAGGTTCTTCCATCATTTGTTTGCTAGCTGAAAGCAGCAATGCTTATTCTTCCCAATTTTTCATTGAACATCTTCTGGGCTTTGGTGCTCATGGTTGCTTCTTCACTGAACATTGAGTTGGCTACATTACTAATTTCATTGAAAAACGGCTTTCGCCTTGCTTCTTCATTGAACATGAGCTTACCTAGAGAAGGCTTAGCTACAAGGCTAATTCTCAGCTCCTCCTCACAGGTCAAGTCATTAGCTTCAATGCTGATTATTGGTTCTTCATAAAACATTGTGTTAGAATTAGATACAGTAGCAACTGTCTGTTCATTGCACAATTCATCGAAAGGGCATGTCTGAGGCTCATCGTCTTTATTTCTCTTTGTGAGCTTAGAGGCAAAGACATCTAAAGCTTCCTTCATCCAGGAATGCCAACATACTTCTCTTGCTTCACTAAATTTCAACTGCAAGATAAAATCAAATATAACATCAGGATACACTATCCAACTAACAAATTACACAAATCAAAGTGATTCGAGATCACAGCAGCTAAGATATGCAGATTCACAACTTACCCATAGACGTTTTCGGACAGTTTTCTCAGGCCAATCTTCTAGTTCTTCTGTGACAAGCAAAGGAAACATATGCCCCTGATGAAATGTCCCTTGGCTTTTGCTCTTAAAACTCCAAGTACCTAAATACTCCTGAACCTCAACATCACCAATTACACCAGATTCCTCAAAAGTCTCTCTTAAAGCAGCATCTTCTAATGCCTCATCAGTTTCCCAACCACCCTGTAATTTCATCACAAAACAAAAAATGTCAAATCCAAGAATGATTAAGAATAGTATCCAAACTCTAAATAGGGAGCCAAATACAACAAACAAACAAACTGGATTGAAATTATACCTTAGGGAACATCCACTTTGGACTCTTCTGTGAGCTGATCACTAAGAATTCCAAATCATCAATTTGGGTCCCTTGAACGGTAGATGATTGATTGGTTTTTCTATATCTGTACGGAATGCATCTGCACCATTGGTAAAAATTTACAGAAAAATCAGATCAACATACCCAGAAATTGATTTCAAAATTAAACACAACCCCACATAAAAAGATTTCAACTTTCTTGAAATTAAACCAAAAAAATCAAAAATTAATACGCACCCAACAACTTGACGACATCCATCATTGTATCTCTGCAAGTCTCTTCCTGTTCTTGAGATCATAGATAAGGTTTTCGTCATTGCCATATCGAAATAACTCCACAAACAAAAGACACCCTTTTCTCTGTTCTTTCTAAAGAAGAAAACCCTCCAAAGCAAGAAGGAGATATATATAAATACAGAACTGCAAATTAGGGTAGTTATGGAGAGGGGGAAAAAGGGAACAAAATCCAGTTGGAATTAATCTGTATTTAGTCTACAAAGCAGGAAAGATCAGATTTTTGTGAGATTAGATGATGAAAAGAAGCTAAAAAAACAGATTTTAGTATATTTTGTTTTGTAATTTGTTGTGTGTATTAATAATATGAGAAGCTATGCTAAAACTGTGTGTGTCCACTCCTTTAAATAGAAAATGAAGATAGTGATTTATAGAATTTTCGTGAGAGGGGGGCCAATTGGGGAAAAGTGGGCAAATTGGGCGTGGGTCAATCATTATTTTATGTTCTTTGTAATTTTCTGAGAAGGCCGTGTTTATTTTATATTACGGGGTAGTTTGGTGGGTGGGATGTGATAAATAATTTAATTTATTATTTATATTAAAATAATTGAGTAAAATATAATAACAATAACATATTTATTGAAATTTCATCAATATATGCATATAGAAGTATAAATGTTGTTCCCACAAGACCTTCCGTTCAAATGGAATAAGTTCGAGTAGAAGAAAAAGAAAACAGTGAAAAAACATAACAATTAATATGAAAAGTAGTGCATAACCTACTAGAAAGGAACAATAACAACATCAAAAATCAAAATGATGCGATGTGAAACACAAAAACATGAATAGTACTACGAGATACACCAACAAACTTAAACCTTCAAAAAAACGAGATAACACTGTGCATCCTATTAATCTTCAACGATCCATATCTTCCCATCTAAAATCATATCCTTAAAATGAAATAATGCTGAAATTAAATAATACTATCTATTACCAAACATATGATAAAATAACATCATAAAATACGTAGAGATTATAATTTTTATCTCACCGATCAAACAATCACCTTAAAGTAATAAACATTATTATTAGGGTTGTTGTTGGGTGAAGACTATAAATAGGTCCCCCACCTAACATAAATGTGTATAAAATATAAGTATATTGTTGTGTAACGCGTTACGAGTCACTATCGTAAGGGTTCTGTAATCCGAGGGTCTAATCACTCGGTATTTGTGACCAGCAATAGTTATTCCCTAATTGGTCACTTCAACTTCCGCCCCAAACTCGGCCTATACACGCTATGACTTTGGTTATCACTCGAACCACGATGCTTCCTTCCAATAATCTCTTTTATTAGGGTTAGACGTAGCTCATAAGCAACAGGTTCACGTGAATTTATTATAAACGTTTTATGGGACATCTTATTTGATTCCATCGAAGAAGAAAGAAATTTAGGATATGAAATCGATAGAAGCAACATAGGGCCGACTCAACAACATTGGGGACCTAAAGCGAAACTTAAGTGAGGGGCCTTAATATTTTTTTTATCATATATACTTTTATTTGATATCTACTTTTGTAGCTATTTTAGATGTGAAGTCATTTGGTACTGTATTATTATCAATTTGTTTTAATAATTTATTTTCAAATGATGATATAGCTAATTCATTCAATCTCTCTTTAGACATTATTGATCTTAAAGAAGATTTAATCAATTTTAATTTCGCAAAAAACTTCTTTCGGCTGAGGCAATAGTTACAGGAATTGTTAACATTATTCTATAAACAATATGTGTATTTGAAAAAGAATCAAGTCTTTTTATTTGATTGAGTATTTTAATTAGATCATTATCTTCTACTTGTATTATTTTCCTTAACACTTTTAATTCAAAAAATGAATCTAAACCATCAATAGCAGAATAATTATTACATGATAAAGAAAGTTCAAGGTTAAGACAATATTTTTTTTTAATTCTCATCATCTAGTGATCTCAATATTTTACCACTAAATAACAAATCAAAAATATTTCCATATGCTTCAATTGGTTCAAATCAATTTTGAAGTGCAAAAATAATTTGATCTACTCTACATATATAAAACAATCAATTCTAAAACGTTCTTCAAGGGACTTTGTGATTTCGCTATCCACATTTTCATCAAATTGTTTCTTACGAAATTCAGGTTTATTTTCATCTCATATGTAATTTTCTTAGAAGAAATCATAACACTCATAGTACATATAATTATTATTTTTTAAATAACATATATAAGTAATTGTTTTTAAAAATGGGGACCCCATAGCGATGACTTTAGTGGCCTAGGGGTTAAGACCCTGAAGCAACATACAATAGCATATCAAGTGTAATCACACAAAGTGGGCTTGGGAGAAGATAATATATGTTTGCAGACCTTACCACTATCTTGGAGGTAAAGAGTTTATTTTCAATGGAAGGAATAAGACGTTTCCATTTAATTTACATACATTTTTATAAATATGTATTAGGTAACTTTAGTAAAAATATTTAAAATTTGGTAGTATCAAGTTCACAAGTAAAAAAATAATTATCTGCAACTCGATATTATATGTAATAGTTCAATTCATTAGTGATATTGTCCTTCTTTAAGCTTTTAAGTTTGGAGAATTTTAAAATATGTTACTAGAATCTAAAAATTCCTTATACACTCAATATCGGTTCTCGTATTTTATAAAATTTGCCTTTAAGGGTGTTTCCCATGATAAAAAAAATATCACTTTTGATATCAAGTATTTGAATGTATTATTTTGATCATTAAATCATAATTGGATTTAGTGTTTGTCGATGTTCCCTCTCCACTCATGTTGTTTTATTACAATTTAAAGCAGTTGAGACACTTTCCAAAATTGGCATGTGAAAACTTACTATATATATAGTGTGAATGTAAATGAGTGAACAGTGAATTTAGGAAGGAGGTGCGTTGCATCTCAACATGTAAGATTACAAAACACTAGAAAATGAATAAAATAAAGAAATAGACCAAGTCTTTTAATTATGAAAATTTGATATTGTAATAAGAATTGTTATACGATTAATTACTTCCAAATATATAGGATATTTTCTCTTGGTTGGTTGCCTAATTTCCGAAATTTGTGATCAATACTTTTATTATAACCATACTTATACATGTATTCTTATTCAATCCGGACCTCCGATCTGATCCTTTCGTCATAAAATACTATTTAGGATAATTTTTAGAAATGTTTCTTAGGTGTTTCCGCTCCATAATACTATCATCTCATATATATATATATATATATATATATATTGAATGACTATTCTCATCTCTCGAATTAGGCATATGAAATAAAATCGCCTTTACCCTGGAATTCAAACCGGGTCTCAAATGGTCTTTATTTCAACCGACACACCCTTTTTACCGATTTCTTTTTTGTCGTTATATATTTTTTGCTTTTACACGCTTGAGTCCAAAATATAATCTACCATGTAACAAACATTTGGGCCTATTGACATTTTAGAAAAAAGGAAACTTACATAAATATTTTATATTAAGAAAATATTTACAATTTATAACAATAATATTTTATTTTCACTTGATCACTTTTAATATATTTGTAATACAATTTTAATACATATTAGAGAGAACAATTTATAAAATACATATAATACAAGTTTTATTGATGAATAATGCATTAATCACACATTTTAATACACTTATAATACAATGTGACAATTTCTTACCAAACAAACATAATATATTTTAAAACAGATATAATACATATATATTGCATACATAATTTACTTTTAATACATATTACAGATTTATCATAATATTACTATATAGTATTGCTAAAATCAGTAATTATTTATTAAAAAAGTACCTATTTAAGTAATTTTAGAAAATAGTAGAAACTCCCAAGTGTGCAATTTGAAACAGTAGCTTCGACTCTATACAGTACATAAGTCACAAATTTACCTTGTTAATAAGTTTGTGTACGTAGACTGTGATGAAAGTCGAAGAGAAAGAAAAAAAAAATACACGTTTTGGCACACACAGAGACAAAGGATTTATTTTATTGCATGCAAAGCGTGAGGAAGACCATGTCTAAAACACGCAATAACGTATAGCAAGTTGGATACAAAAGACACATTTGACTGCGTAACTAAAAGCGAAATCAAAATTTAAATTTTGTGAATTCTAAAATTGTCATTTAACGTATTTAATACGGTAGCTTGGCCCCTATCATAACAAACAAGAACATGCTGATGCTGAATTGAAAAGACAGGACCACGTGTATAACAAATGTTAAAAGGTGTTTTATTGTGGACCTACTATTTAAGTCGCAAACAACTTGTCATGTATAACCAATCCTTAGCAAAAGTATTGCGTATAATTAAACAATCATTATGGATGGTGAAGAAGAAACACCTAGTAGGATATCACCAGTGAAATTTATTTTCTCGAATTCTAATGAGAAAACTATTTTAAGAGACTTAACTGGTAAAATTACTGTCATGTGATGAGTTCAAATCTTGGAAATCACTTTTGATGAAAATGCAAGGTAAGAATGAGTATAATAAGCTCTTATGGTTGGGTCTTTCCTATACCCTGCATATAACGAGAGTTTTAGTATACCGACAATCTTTTTTTTATTTTTAAAAAGACAATTTATTTATTTTATCAATCAGACATGGAAACACACCCAAAGACTTTCGAGATAAAGTTTTTTGAGATATTTGATGAGATTGGCAGTTGTGCACATGATGTGTCATTTTTTCTCCCATTTGTGTGGTATCAATCCACTATGAATCAATTCTCACCTTTGGATTCGTTAAATCAATAATAAATGCTATCACATGGAATTATTGGTGATGCTAACCACTACTTTTACTTTCCCAACGAATTTTTCTTTTGAAAAAAGTGCTCTTCGAATATGTTTTAGACTTTTTCAGTTGTGTATGTCACACTTTCTGAAAAATGTTGATAACACTAGTGCACTCAATCAATTAAATGTTGACCTTGCAATTTTCTCCATCCCACATTTTATTTTAGAGGACCTAAGTCAACAAATAGCCCATTGTTTAGAATCATCTGCCCCAATTATGATTTTTTTTGTTTTGTTTTTCTAGAACAAAAAGACTAGTAAGAGCCCAAAGTATAATTACAAATTTATAGTTCAACCTATTTTTTGTCTTTTGGTGAATTAGCCTAGAAAAACTGCGCCGTCTAACGGTTTTGGGCCTCTGTTTTGGTGCACATGCTTTAAAGAATTGGGCTTCTATTTTGGTCTACTCCTAGAAGGTATTCCTGAAGGTTGAATAGTTACACTTGTTTGATTAAACAAAATTAAAAAATGAGAGAAAAAAAAAATCAACTATTTT